GTTTAAGAAAACTACTGTATAGTAGTGAGAGTACCATTTTAAAGTGAGCGCCAAGAGATTGGGAACCTTTTTTAATATTTTTTTTAAATTTTATTTGCTCTGTAATTATCCTTGATGGCACCGTAGGGAAGTGATTAACTGTTGGAGTTTGTATGACCTCCCTGTGGGTTTTCTCCAGGTGCTCCAGGTTCCTCCATACACAGTCCAAAAACTTGATTGGCTTCTGAGAAAAATTGGCTCTGTGTGTTTCCCTTCGTGTGTGTGTCTTGGCTTTGCTTGCTGGGATAGGCTCTAGCTCCCCTGCAACACTGAATTAGATAAAACAGTTAGACAGTGGATAGATAGATTGACAGAGTGATCCTAGGCTTGGTGATTTGAATGTAGTGAATGGCACCAATTTCTGTAAAATGTATTAAATCACAGAACCTGAGATTCAAACGAAAGATGTTGAATAAGAGGTAACTAGACTTCTTTTATGGTAGAGACATGCCTTTGCTTCTCACAGGAGTTTAAGTTTGGCAATAATATGCAAGCAGGATAATATGCATAGGCTTTAACTACTGAGCTGCTAACTAGCAATGAAGAATTAAAGGTTGTTAAAAGTGTGTGTCAATTTTGAAATAGAGTATATGAAATCCTTACTAACAAATGATTTTATGAGTTACTGCTGCAAACGAAAGTCACATTGCAAGTCTTGCAAGCTGTTGGTTACAGGATGATTAAATTCCACAGTAAATAGTACAGACCCATTTTAAATTCTTACACTATATCCTTATAGATCTTTTTGTGAATCATAAACTCCTATTTCATTCGTTGGGCCCTTAAACCAAACTATGCATAAATAAATTGTTGCAGATTGGAGGGTTATGTTGCATAACTTCCTGATGAAAAAGAGTTTTGTAAACTAAACAGGACATCTGTTTCTCTAGCAGATGACTAAAAACTCTCTGTGGTACAGCACATGTTGACAGAATGGCTCTGAACCTGCTCTCCTCTCTACACTTCAACACAGTGTGAAGGGTAAAGTGAGAGTGATTCAGATAATTAGGAGAAGCTTTGCACTTCTACTGTTAGTCTTTTTCTTTAATTTCTGGTCATTGGTACTGTAGCTTTGTTTTTCAGCTTATTGAAAGTCTGGGGTGTCTTTTGTAATTATGGGCTCTGTAGATAACCACATATGTATTAATGTAAACAAAATCCAAGGAATTTATTCAAACACCAAAGTAAAACAAGAAAATGGGGCTACAGTTGCACATTTGGTAGAATTACTTGTAGAAATCTACTTCAGACTTCTATATAAAAACACCACAAAAAGTTTATGTAGCAGGGAGATAGGAAGCTTTTCTATCAAGCATCAGATTTATTTTTCCAACAGATGTTTTTTGAATGCTTTGAGAAATTAAGTTTATACAGGGAATAATTCAATTATTATTATGTGCTTGGTTTTCAGAATGGGAATTTTGTTGGTGGGGTGAATGTGGCTCTAAAGTGTATTCATATGGGAGAGTTATCTAGGGAAGATGTTGATCTACATCCTGTTTCTCAGAAAATTCAGCAGAATCACATTCCCACAGAAGCCTACCTTGGCACAGCAATTGATTAGGAACTGTCATTTTCCGCTTTTCATTGTAGGTTACAAAAGTAAAAGTCAATGGAAAGAAATCAAAAAGAATTCACAAACTTCCAAAGGGAATGAGATATCATACAGTAACTCTTGAACAATGGGGTATGATGGGACTGTTTGAAATCACCATCTGCACTGATGAATACAGCCCAGGGGATCTCTTCAAGTTCAGAAGTGAAACAAGAGAATGGGGACACACATGTAGTAGAGATGCTTTTTAGAAATCAATTTCAAGAACAAATTGCTCCACCAAGACATTATTGAATAGGGGACTGAACTAAACTCCATAAGTTGATAGACTATGAACAGTATGGTCAACACCAGAAATGGGCTGAATGGCTCCTACTCATTTGTGGTCTTTGTTTCATGCACGACTATGGAGAGGCTTTATTATATAGAGGGCGTCTCTATAATACAAGAGGGTCTCTATTACTTATAATTATTGTAGATGTACTGGTTTGTAAATAGGTTATTGACATTGGGTTAAATATGCACATTCTCACTGGGTGTGTTGAGTCAATTTTGGGAATGTAAAGGGCCTCATGGTGTTTAGGGAAGGGGAGGCTACTTTAGAGGCTTCTGTGTGTAACAACTGTGGCAAGGCTGAAATAATGCCTCCTGCACCTTAATTACTCTGGTCCACGTGCGTTTTAATGCGCTCAGATACTTTGAGCCATGTTGTCTAAGGTGTCACAGTGTTTTTCATTGAAATCCTTGTAAAAGGACAGTGATGCAATGATTATAAAATGGGCATGTTAGTGTTCAACAGATCCAAGATAGGGTAAGAAACGTATATTCTTGAGGGACCTACTAGCAGGTTCAAGAGCCCAATGATTAGCCTGAACTTTCTCAAGACTTTAAATTAATTAATATTAAATTAACAATAAATTTATATTGCAAATTCATATAACTCAAAAGGTTATGCTATGCAAAAATTGAACTAAATCATTTTTCTAATACCCGATCTGTACTAAATGTTATGTCAGTTTTGATGTATAAATAAATTCAAATGCAGGTCGAGATTTTAAGAGCTATAGTAAAACTCAAGTAAAAAATAGAAGTAGAACACAGTGTCTCACAGACTTCCTCCCAACTTGTCTTATGCCTGAGAGAGTTCTATACCGTCACGAACGCTATTCCTCCTCTTAAGGGCGCTTCAGCCTTTCCTTGTTCAGCCCCATTACCCGCACCTGTTCCTTATTCCAGCCTCTCTTCAGTTCCCCCTTAAAAGCCAGACGCAGACGTCATTCGAGGCTCTTCATTGAATTCCATTTTGTGAGAGCCCGGGTCCTGCTGCGTCTGGCTCCGTTATGGTTTTAACTTTCTGTTCCTGATCCCCCCTGCCGGTCCCGACCCGGTTCCTGGTTTTTAATCCCCTGGATGAATCGCCTGGCCATGGACTTATCCTTCTGTTTTGGTTTCCCGTCTGGACTTCGTCTTGGATTGTTCGCCCCGAACACCTGGACACCTGCACACCTGCACCCCGTCTCCATACCCGTCTCCTGCATGACTTTTTCCCCAGTGTTTCCTCACAAATCCGGATTGTGTCGTCTGCATAGGGCCTGGAAAGAACTGTTCATGACATATACTGATTAAGTACAATCATCAGGATTGACTGTGGGTTCTATTGACATTTCTCAGTGATGATTACTTCACTGCAGATCCTCAAACTCATCCAGTCTCCAGTTCTCTAACCTCTTTATCCATTTCAGGGTTGTGGGGAAGCTGGAGCCTATCCCAGCAGGCAATGGGTGCAAGGCAGGGTGCACCCTGAATGGGACACCAGGCCATCGCAGGGCACGCACAGACACAAATGTCCACACAGCAGGGCCAATTTTTCCAGAAGGCAATTAACCTTCTGTGTGTCTGTGGACTGTGGGAGGAAACCAGAGAACTCAAAGGAAATCCATGCAAACACAGGGAGAGCACTCAAATTCCATGCAGATAGCACCCTAGGTCGCTTATTTGAACCCAGGATCCAGTGCTGAGGGGCAGCATTGCTAACCACTGCACCACACTCATGTTCATTTTCACTATATATCCTTTAACACAAATATTATATTTTAGCAAAGAAGGCTTGGATGCTCGCAGAAAGTGAGATGTCAGCATTAATATTTAAACAAGCATGCAACCTTCAACATTCGTCTGTTGTGCATTTCAAAAACAAGTCTGTTAAATTACTTATAGTTAGGACCTGGATTTTGTGAGTAGGAAATAAAACAACAGGCAGTATGCAGTAAAAAATATGAATATATTATAAATTATAAGACCATCATCCATTCAATAAAAGAAAAACAAAATGGTACTGTACAATGCTTCTTCCATTACATTCAGTGTAAAACTTGTAGAGTTTAGCTTGTGTGCAGGACACAATGTGCTAATGGCACATTTGTTCTAACATTCTAGAAAACAGTTTGCTTTGTTATATTGCATATTATTTCATAATGTACATTCTTTTAAAAAAATCTGCAGTTAAATAACATTTAAAAATCATACTGCCGAGTTCTTTAGCTGCAAGCATACTACCTTCTTGCAACCAAATCAAAACAGATTAAAAAATACTTTTAAATAAATAAATTAAAAGATGATACACAACATTCCAGTTTTATCTAGGTCTAGACATTTCCTCTCAGCAGCAGTGTAAAAAAGCCTGAAAGTAAATATCTGAAACAAACTCAGTACCACAGAGTGAACTTACTTGTTATATATGAAAATATTAGACAATATGAGTACTATATGCTACACCTTAGCTAAAAAGATAATGATGCTGAATTGTATGAGTTAGCTGTTTCTACCTTTGTTCAGAAAAAGGGGAAATCAGCATTTTAAAATCAATTCAGCAGTTCTGAATTGATCTGGGAGAGTGCAGTGCAAATCTGAGTGATTAAATATTAAATAAATACTGGAAAAATCCAAAGAAAAGTATAATTAGCATAATTCTATTTTCATAGAATTGATAATTGTACTGATATGCTGTACACAATAACTAAGCAACAGTATTCAGTTTAGCAAAAGTATAACTATAAATTCTTAATAATTCCTTACGCTTACACTATACAGTATAGAGCTTTTCTGGATACTCCACTCAAAGCACGTTACAGATAATGGGAACTCCAATGTGTAATACGCACCTTGATGATGTGACAGCAGCCAAAGTGCGCTCACCACACATCAGTTATCAGTTGGGAGGAGGACAAAGTGATGAAGTCAATTCATAGATAGGGCCAGGGGGCCAGGACACTGGGGTAACATCCCTACTCCTTTTGATAAACGCCCTGGGATTTTTAATGACCACAGAGAGTTCTTTTATGGCTCATCCGAAGGACGGTGCTTTTTTTACAGTATAGTATAGTGAACCCATCACTATACTGGGGCAGTAGGACCAACACAGACTGCAGGGTGAGCACCTGCTATCACCTCTTCCAGCAGCAACCTTAGCTTTCCCAAGAGACCTCTCATCCAGATACTGGCCAAGCTCACACCTGCTTAGCTTCAGTGGGCTGCCAGTGGTAAATTGCAACAATATTCAATGTTAAATTGTATATATTACAAGTATATAGCTATGGGCACTAGTTAAGCACTTTACTTTTTCAAAAAGACAAATGATAAAGATATGCCATGCCTCATGGTTATCTATTGCTTATGGGGACATGGTCATCCTGTTTTGAGTCTCTGCTAAGCCAGCTCCATGTATTCTTCAACTTGGTTGTAGAAAAGCACAGTCCATTCCTGATAATCCTGCATGATCTTTGGGATTAAAATTTTGAAAAAGTCAATCAGATGGACTATTTCAAAAGTTCAGGTGCCAAGGAAATTGCCAAGGAAATTAAATGAACAGACTGAAAATAAGAGGCACTTCTTTATAAATGCTGTGGCTGTGAATGTCTGTAACAACCCACCCTGCTAGATATGTTGTTGACACTGATTGCCTGGGACCCGGTGAAAAAGGGTTTCTGGGATTGATTAGCTTCTAGCAAATAGGTGAGCAGAACAGGTCAGATGGTTTGTTCCTATTTTCAGCCCTTCTGTTGTTTGTTGTTAAAGGTTTGGACAGAAAAATACAAAATTTAAGAAAGAAAAAAGCACTGCTGTGTTAATTGGCCAAAGAGTCTGAAACATAAGGTTTAAGAATTAATGAAGACCAGACGTGCTCCCATTTATGCAGCAAGACCAGTTCTGGAGCGATTTGAATAAAGCATCTTGCAACAACAGAATTTAAGGATTTCAGATTAAAACACATCCAGAATATGGATCCCTCAGACCTCCTCTGCACTGCTGCTTTGTGTTGAGTTGTATAGCGTTTCAGTATGGAATTTTGTCTTATAATCATAAAATCCCTTCACTCTACATTAATTGTAGAGTTAATTGTGAAGTTAATCTTCAAATATTAAGACTGTAGTACCACTGGCTGAGTCTTTGCCTTATGCTATACTTAACACAAGAAGGATATATTCTGGTATTCTTTCAGTGTATTTTCAGGAAGGCATGTTTGCATTAAGATGGCACCAGCATTACTGCCTTGCTGTGCTGCTGCCCGGGGTTTAATTCCAGTCCTGGGGTGCTATCTGCATGGAATTTGTATGTTCCTCCCATGTTTGTGTGGTTTCCTTCAGTTACCTCCCACAGTCCAAAGATACTGTTTAAAGGAAGATTGATTGGCTTCTAGAAAAACTGGTCCTAGTGTGAGTGTATGCATGTCTGACTGTGTATATCCAGGATGTACCCCACCATGCTCCCACTTCTTACTGGGATGGGCTATGGATCCCCTGTGACCTTGAATTGAATGAAGCAGTAAGAAAGTGGAATGAAGAATATTTGCATTATTTGGGTAACGGAGTGGCCCCAATTGTGACCCCAATTAGAAGTAGTTCTAACAGGAAAGCTGTTCAAATATTATAGAAGTCACTAAAAAATGACTAAAAAGAGAGGAAAAGTTAGAAAACTAACCCAAATAGGACACTTTGTGCCTTCTTGATGGGTTTCTATTACGACAGAGTCCTTATATACCAGCACTCCTGGTGTACAGATACGCCAGTATTTGGAGCCAGTGCACATAAGCTGACTGTTATTGGAAATAAAGCCTAACTGTGTTTTCTTGTGTAGTAAAGGGATACACAATAAATAAACAAACATAAATACATCAGTACATTCAGAGTCAGGCATGTCATGTTTCCAGTGGAAGGCCACATTTTTAGTTCATGCTCCAATGGCTTCATCCATTTGACAATTGGCATAACAAATTCTTCATGTAATCCCGTTGATGGCTGTGTTGCTTGGGGATGTGACTTGGAAGCAGGCACTGCTTTCAGTCATTCTGTTGGCACTTCTTAAGGTCAGCTGACGAATGGCTGAAGACTTGGTTACCCAGTAAAAGACATCCAATCACCCAGTCTTCCATTATAAGGGAGAGCCACTCCAACATGTGAAGAAAAAGGATTTGGAATGGTTACCATGAATTGTTACACTGACATCTGTTGTTACTTGTATTGTTGCACCATGTAGATCCCAAAAAACGTTTTTTGGGAATCAGTATTTATCTTTGCATGCTTTGTGCATTTTACGTAGATCTTGTCGTTAGCGGAGAGTTTAAACTGACGCCCCGTGTAGGTTGAAGACAAGAACGGACCACCCGTGTGGTTGAAGCTCCTTCCCAGAAGCACGACTTCTTCAACACCTGTCTTTCGCCACACTTCCACCGTGTAGATATTAGCTGGGCTTATTGTTTGCAGGCTGATCTGGGTGTAGAGGAAATACAACCCATCATGGTGTATTTGCAGATGACCATTATGCAGAGTGAAGTTCTGTGATGGCATTCCATTCTCATCCTCCCAGGCAATGATGAACTTTCCATCTTTGAATCAGAAAACATAAGGAGAGGCGTTAAATGACTAATGGCCTGTGTTACAAAATGTATATATCAGCTGTAAGAAAAACCCATTCCTTTTCATATATTCGGGCGTTTCTCTAAAAGAGTAGGGGCGAACCCCGGCGTCCTGGCCAAATTTCCCCATTGGCCTTTACCAATCATGGCCTCCTAATAATCCCCATCTATGAATTGGCTACATTACTCTGCTCTCCTCCCCACCGATAACTGATGTGTGGTGAGCGTTCTGGCGCACTATGGCTGCCGTCGCATCATCCAGGTGGATGCTGCACATTGGTGGTGGTGTAGGGGAGTCCCCATTACCTGTAAAGCGCTTTGAGTGGAGTGTCCAGAAAAGCACTATATAAGTGTAAGCAATTATTATTATATTATTATTATATATCGCAGTTAAAAGAACAACAGATTATCTTGCAGCTTTAACTGAGCTAGTTTTAGCAAAAGATGATGTTCAGTTTATTATGTTTAAGTTAGAGTACATGTGGTCTACAAATAATTATCCATCCATTTTATAACTGCTTCCAATTCAAGGATGTGGTGGAGCCAGAGCCTATTCCGGCAAGCAATGGCTGCAAGGGAGGAAACACTCTGGCTGGGATAACAGTCCATTGCAGGACACTCACAGCAGGGCCAGACCAGAAGCTAATTAACCTACCAGTATATGTCTGGAGGTCACATCATATACAGTTTATTTCCTTGCAATAGAATGCATTTCCAAGCATGCTAATAAAACTGTCCCTTCAAATAACTTCATACAGTGTACATAACTCACAGAAGGCAAATGCTAACAACTGTAGAGCAAATGTACCGGCTATCCTCAGTAATCCCTACTCCATTACCTATTAACAATGTTTGTATTTAATCATTGCTATTATTTTAGAAATCAAAGCACTACTATAATTTTATAAATTAAAGTTTTAATTGATGTATTGATTTTGTAAATGTTTAAGCTGTAAATGTCATTTTCCAGAAGCAATAGTTGAAATTCTAATGACATTTTAAAATGTTCTGGCTTTTTCATCTACATTATGAATAACAATTTAGATGTGATAAGTGAATACTTATGTTCTTGTTTCTGTTCAGATACCCTGGAAAATTACAGATTCTGTTAAAAATCCAAATACAGATCACAGTTCCAATTACAATTACAATACGATAACAGATTACAGATCCAATCTGAAAATTGTCCAATTTGTTTTCTAAATAAAAGATATCACTTTATTTACCAGCGTGCTCTTGTGAAATGCAAAAAACCACACTTCAAAACTACCTAAGATAAAGCTCTTCCCACAATCATTTTATAACCTCAGTGGTTTACACTGTTTCTTATTAGTGTCTTGCCAGTAAAGCTCCCTGTTCATGTTCTGACTTGGGAAGTTCTCTCCTGTTAATTTCTATACATCACATATCACTGCGGATTTTGTTGGTTCAAAATAAAATAAGAAAATTGTGTAGAGCTACTCAATAAGATCAGTGTCACGGATGTGGGAAAGGATGAACTGTGGAATGGCAGGAGAGCGAAAAGACCCTATGTGTAGCAGCGAGACAGGGGTTAGCCCGGGCTCAGCTGTTCAGGAAATGCCGTATAGAAATCTATGCCCTCAGGTAGCGGACATGGGGCGACCTGGTGCTAGGCGGGTCTCAGGACATCCGAATGTCACATTGAGCGCAAGCAGAATGAAAGACCCGGAAATATATAGCCCCAGAGAGAGAGAAACACCGGAAGGAAAGCAAAGAACTGGAAATGAGAGACAGGACAGAGAAGGAGCACCCTCTGGCTGCAGAGGGCGTGACAATCAGCACACATCAGCATTATTTCCTGATCTATCCTGCCTGTTACCGATTTTCTCTTTTTAAGAATAGAAGCTGGAAAACAAATCTGGAAAAATAAAGGAATACAGTTACCTGGATCAGCACTGAATGATTCAATGGCTGCATCTGTAAAATAATACACAGGTGTCAAAAACTGCAGTTTGTTTTTTTCAACACTCTTGCAGGGACAGTATTTTTAGAACATTTTTGTACCCGTTGGCTGTGGGGAAAAATATTGTAAATATTGTTCTACTGAAGAGAATTAAAAGCAGCATTTTTTATTTCTTTCTCATGTGCTTTTCCAAAATTAATCAAAATTGTTTTTTCACCATTCTGTGTATTTTCTAGTGTTAAGATCTTTCTGTGGGACTATCCAGCATGACCTCAGTCTTCACCACAACCACAGCCAAGCAGTATGGAATATCTCAAATTCGTTTAACTTCAGTCAGCTGGACGAATATTCACTGCACTTAATAACTGCATCTGTTGCCTCTATTGCATCTGTTGGTAACAGAGAGCATTAATCTCCTTTATTAGGTTTCCTTAAAATCACAGAAATGCCTTACCTCCAAAATGTGCAGTTAGTAAATGACTGGGAAGACTCTCACTTTTGCCCTGGAAGTACACAAAAAAACTGAAGTGGTTAATCATAACATGTTTTAACTGGAATGCAGCAGGAATATTTGTCTAAAATCCTTTTGTGACTCACTGTATCCTAAAATCTCACAGAGCATCCACATCTGAAGCCCAGATTGGAAAATTGTTACTTTGTCCTTTTACCACCAAGAGGGGTGCACTGACTGATCTGGGTTAAAAGCTTAATGCATAGCTCACTATACAGTAGAGACTACTCTAGCAAAATCTTAAAGAACAATGTTCTTATCCCAGCAACCCTAATTAGTGCTTAGAAAATGGATGGATGTTCTTATCCATGGCAACTTGGAACGTATAAAAGGTTTACTTTGTGTTTTCAAGAGTGACCTGTCCTGTCCAAGTACTAGCAGTAGAAATGGTCCTGCATATGAATGACTCTATGATTCCTGCTATCTAAAAAATAGCAGACCAGGCCTCAGTGTGCTGTTTTATTATGAGAGTATTATGAGAAGGATAAGAGGTGTGATTGTTGGTGTAAGGCAACAACAGATCTGTCTAATGTGTCAATTCAGACAGCCTCGGGGGTTTGCAGGCAGTGACTGGTGCAATTCAGACTACAGGAAGGAATGGAACAAATTGGCCAAATTGAAGGTAGTGTGTGTTGTGACAAGACTAGACCTGTGTGAACACTGAATGTGCAATTGATGCCACAACATGTTGGAAAAGTAATTACTACTGGAGTGGACCCAATCCTGGTCCTGGAGGGCAAGTACTGTATGTCTGCAGAATTTCAAGGTCTTTTTTTAAAAGCACCAGCAGCTGAAGAGCTGGTACAAGCTATTAAATTGGTCAAATCAACCTTTCCATGACCAGGAAAAAAACATCTCTGAATTCAATCTATGCATTATTTGGAAAACATATTCTTCTTTTTTTGCAAAATACCAAGAGAATAACGCTCAATGGTTTGTGGAAAGTGTGCAGAGAAATGATGTGGGGTTTCATGTTTGTGTGGTTGGTTTTACTACAGAATTGTGAAACCTGCTGGCTTGCAAGGACTACAACCAGACTGCATTACCAAAGCAAATGCCTTTTTCAGATCGTCATTACTTCTTTATTATGCCACAGAGTACGTCACTCTCTCTGTGTTGTGGTTTGTTTCTTTTTAAAAAAAAAATAGGTAAAGACATCGAGTTTCAGTTCCTGTTCTTTTAAAATAGGATGCCATTTGTGTCCTGGGAAGACAGAAAGGAACTGCCTTTTAGTGACCTCTTCTATTTAGCAGAAGAAACTGAGTTTTTTTTTCTGAAGCCCATCTAGAGATTGCAGTTGACAAGCCTTGCATCTTTCTGACCTTAATTATTTCAGAAATTTCATTACAAAATCTGCACACATCCTGTATTCTGAGTCATACTGAATTGGAGTTTAAAATAAAATTTGCCAATGTGTGCAAAGGCCTGTGTTTTCTATTTAATTTAACTATCCATTTTGCACAAGTTTGCTAGTAATCTTCACACGATCAAAAAAGCACATTCCCCGACTGTCTGATCCTTCTCTGTTTTATGTGTTGCAGCACTCTGATCCTTATCTTTGTCCACACTGTCCCAGTGAAGCAAAAAAAAAATAGATTTTAATATTGTTTTAATATTGGTGATATCCACCCCCACCTGCAAAATGGCACAAAATGTAATGGATTAAGTCTGACATCCTTACTTACTCTTTGCACCTCAGATGGAATAACCCTTTCTCGTGATTGTGACTTTGATTAATTACAGTGATTGGTAAAGCAAAGCAAGGTTACAAGCTCTGCTATGCACTGTATGCAATTTATTGTGAGGAATGATTAATGCAGTGTCTTTTTTTCCCATTTGGCTGTTTCACTTTTTACAGTGCCTATAGAAAGTCTACAGCCCCCTTGGACCTTTTCACATTTTATTGTGTTACAGCATGGAACCATGATGTATTTAACTGAGATTTTTTGCCACTCATCAACACAAAGTACTCTATAATGTCAAAGTAAAAATAAATTCAGATATCTTACTAAATAAATTAAAAATAAAAAACAGAAAGTAATTGAATGTATTCACCCCCTTGCTTTGACACACCTAAATTACCTCTGAAGTAACCAACTCTCCAAGTCACAGAACTACTTGACTGTAGTCCACCTGTGTGCAGTTGAGGTGTTTCACATGATTTCAGAATAAATACACCTGTGTCTGGGAGCTTCCCCACTTAGTGCATTTCCAAGGAAACACTACATCATGAAGACCAAGGAACATTCCAAGCAGATCCAAGACAAGGTCCTTGAAAATTTCCTGTCAGGGCAAGGATATAAGACAATTTCCAAGGCATTAAATATACCTCGAAGCACAGAGAAGTCCATCATTAATAAGGTGAGAAAATATGGAACAACTGTGAATCTGCCCAGAACTGGCCATTCTCCAAAACTTGAGTGTCTGGGCAAGTAGAGCCATAGTAAGGCAGGCCAACAAGAAGCCTACGGCAATTCTAAAGGAGTTACAAGTCCTCCATGACAGAGATGGGAGAAACTGTGCGAGACAACAATAGCACACAAACTTCATAAATCATCTGGCTTGTACAAAAGGGTGGCAAGAAGAAAGCCTTTGTTGAGGGAAAAAAAACAAATTTCACATCTGGCTGGAGTTTTCCCAGAGGCATGTGAGAGACTCTGCAATTTGGAGGAAGATTCTATGGTCTGATAAGACCAAAATTGAACTTTGGCGCAAACCTAACACAGCACATCACACTGAGAACACCATCCCTACAGTGAAGCATGGTGGTGGCAGCATCATGCCTTGGGGATGCTTCTCTGTGGCAAAGACTGGAAACACATAAAGATAGAAGGAAAAATGGATGGAACTAAGTACAGACAAATACTGAAAGAAAATGTTTTGCAATCCGCAAGAGCACTGGGACTTGGAAGACGATTCATCTTCCAACAGGACAATGACCCGAAACATACAGAAAAAGCTACACTGGAGTAGCTTAAAACCAAAAAGGTTAATTTCCTGGAGTGGCCCAGTCAAAGCCCAGACATCAACCCAATTGAGCATCTGTGGAATGACTTAAAAATTGCTGTTCACAAACTGTCCCCATCCAACTTGATGGAGCTTGAGTAATTTTGTCAAGAAGAATGGGCAAAAATTCCATAAATGTGCAACGCTGATAGGAACCTACCCAAAGAGACTCACAGCTGTAATTGCTGCCAAAGGTGATCTTACCAAGTATTTACTCTGGAGGGGGGAGACTTATACATTCAAATATGTTTTAATATTAATTAATTTAGTCAAATGTCTGGATTTTTTTTACTTTGACATTATAGAGTTCTTGTGTTGATGAGTAGCAACAATTCTCAGTTAAATACATCATTGTTCCATGCTGTAACACAATAAAATGTGAAAAAGTCTAAGGGAGCTGTAGACTTTCTATAGGCACTTTATCATAAAAGTAACTCTTAATTTCACGTTTCTTTTGTTTGATGACTACACCCCCAGCAGGTCTTTCTGTATAAATCTTCAGATTTTATTATTTTTATTCTGTGATTCACAATGAACTTATTACCTAGGTTAATTCATATGTAAGTATTTAGGAATCTACATAGACAGCATCCTGAGCTGGACTACTTGAGAGAGTTTGGTCCAGCATTTCAGCAGCATTTGTATTTTTTTACAAAGATTAAGAATGTCTGGGGTTGGACAGGAAATAATGCTCCTCTTTAACCATGTTGTAATTGTAAAAAATAACCTGTCCTGTCCAAACAGCAATGAAGGTTATGGGAGTGAAGCAGCACTCCTCTTTATAGACAATTTTTGAACAAATCATGATAAGACAGGCAGGAAAATATATTTTTCATATTCTTAATTTGAATATCATGTCTTCCCCCTGGCAAACGTTCTTACCTCTGGCATCAAATGTTTAAAAAGTTGTTCCCTTATCGATTAAATCAATTAATACAAATAAATGGCAAGGGAAAATGCAATATTTCTGTGTAAACTGATTATGCTGCAACAAACTACTTATGTACAATATGTCATGCCCATGTTGTAATGAGTTATGCATGTGCATTAGATGTGAAGTGTAATGTCTTTGTGATGTATTCAGATGTAAATCTAAATCTAAACCTAAATCTCCTCTGGTGAGCAATAAAGTTTAAAGTTATAATTTACATCATAAGTGTCATTTTCATTTAATATCATGGCAATCCCTTGAAAATATACTGATGTTTCTTTTTTTTAAGTTCAAAGTAGTACTTCACTAGCTTATTATAAGATAAATGTAAGCAAAATACCTCTACCTATTCTGGTGTATTGTCTGTAATCTGCACAACAGATATTCTCTGTACCTCTTTTTCCCAGTTTACTGTTCACCTCTGACTTCTTGAAGGCCTTTCACTTTCTTCTCACAGTGCTTAAGCAAATGTATTCAATTTGACACAAGACATACTATAAAACCACTGACAGTCTGTGCATCCACTGTAGTCTGCAAATGAAGACTGAGGTTTACCTATTCTGGAATATAACCAACTTCCTTACAGCTTAAAATATCGGTAAACTCATCAGGTTTTAACCTTTAAAACTTCAGGCATGTGCTGTGCTCAAGTCCTCAAGTTAAAACTACTAGTTCATGTAAATAAACATTTAGGACTGAGATCTGCCTTTGATGCTGGGCAAAAAAAAAAAACATCTTACTAAGACCTGAGCAGTTTCACACGTTAACAGGAGTTGGTGATGGAAAAGCAGAAGCATGGTGTGTGGATCATGCTGTACTTTAGCTACAGCACCGAGAAGCTTCTCAATCGATTGATTAACCGGTTGATTTAGAAGGCATTGAATTCACTGCAGGTCTAGCTGTTATTGGTGACTGTTAAGAACCAACTGTGGTCTTACAGAATCTGATCCATTGGTTTGCTCAGCTATAAGGAAACTGTGTGTCTCATGGGAGGCCACTACAAATTCATATGACTGAGTAGGGTGATTTCAACAATTGGAAATATCTATGCAACACTTCACAATAAGTAACTGACCTACAAAGTGGGCATTAAGGCCAAGTAGTGTGGCTGTTAATTTTGAAGGGTGACTAGCAATGAAGGCCTGCAGGCCACCCAAGTGTGTCTGAAATGGAAATTAAATTTAAAGGCATGGAAAGCACACAGCAGGTTGCAGGCTTGGTGAAGGCACAGAAAGTAGAAGATACGACTGGAATCGCCCACAGTTTGTGGCGAGCCCCAGGCCAGTAAGTCATGGAAAAATATAACACTGGACATGCTTGCAGCCTAGTGTTGATGATGTCATTCAGACCAGAAAGAGATCAACCCACATTTCTGTGAATTTTGTGCCCGGTGAGCGTGGCAAACTATTTCAGGATCTCAGATGACCAAGATAGGTTTCCAATCTGAAACGGCCCCGGAAGTCATTTTCATCATCAAGCCTCATCAGCAGTGGCTGATTTGAGGCCCATGAGGGTTCTCTCTGATGTGGCAGGCAGATACTGACAACCGAAGACAACAAACATGTCCAGCAGAAAAAGCACACAGCTGCTCACAGCTTCAGCATCCTGTAAGTGTGAGTGTTAAAAACACCACACAGGCCAGCAGTTGCACTCATCTGGCCGCAGTCTACGAGTAAATCAAGGCCTTTTCCCCTACCTGTCTACACCTATGGGTTGATCCATGCTCTGTGAGAATGGAGGAAGTAAAATGCCAGCAGAGAATCTAGTGGATGTAGGGTGGCATTTATGCCAACACATTTATCATGATTAGAGTTGTAAAAATTCAGAAAAAGGCCCAATATTTAACATGGTTAGTGGCTTTTTGTAGGTATCAGAGCATTTCTTCACCAATGTCCATCAGACATACCAAATTACAATGAGGACAAGTTAATGCCGGACATTGACACAGTGAGATTCCAAATTGTGGCTGATTTTCTCAGTCTGCAGTTTCTTAAATCAGCAACACAATATACTGTACTAAACTGTATATACTGTAATATACTGATGTTGATAAATTAAAGTACAAGTCTTAGAAAAAAACCTTTAGTTAATGCTGACAAACAGTGGTTATAGCACTGCCCCTCCTTCACAGATTGTGTACAGAGCTGAATCTCTTTGGCAAAGGAAAAGACATTTATATCTTATAGCACTGAATTGCTCATGCAGTAGCACACTATAGTGGTAGTATGCTACGAGCAATTCTAAGTCAGGAAAGTGCCCTTTATATTAGAAAATGTAGTCATTTTTGCCTGATGTCTTAATAAAAGAAATGGTATGTCCTCCCTGTAAGTAAAACGCCTGTCTCATGTTTTTCTTTTGTTCAGATTCTTTGTCTGCCACAGATTTTCTGCGCTGAGTTTCCTTGCCATCACAAACCAAGACACGTGCTTTTCCAGTCAGCCAACTCTCTCTTACACTGTAATCTTTAAGATGAAACACAGCTCTGCCTTACTATTTTCCACATTTCCACCACAATGCTAATTTAATGCTAATGTAATTGTCACAAATGTAGTCTTTAGGAAATATACTTATACTGCATTATACTTTTATTTATTTTATTATATTATATTTGATCTCTAACCTTAGTCCCAATTCTCCAGTCAGTTACACTTTGTAGTGTAAATCTCATCATTCTAAAATTATACTTTCATCAAATGATATAAGTTATTGATCAATTAAGTAATTAATTGGTTCAATTAAGGGAACTATTGCCCATGAGGGTTGAAGTGTGCTTAGATCTGCAATCTGCGTGATTTAAAATGGCTTCATTCCACATTACCTCCTACCTTTATTTAATGGGTTCTGATCTTTAGCAAAAATTGATTATTTAATATTTAAATATAAATTCCAAAGGACTGTGGCTCTCCAGGACTGGTTTTCAGATGCCAAAAAGAGAATATACAAATATAAAATCTAATTGTTTAATGGTATTTTTCAACATGTTTATTTTTAATTGTTAATTAAAACAGTCTTAAAAATGCTGACGAATATGAAAAGCTTAGTACTAGACGCACTATGGTCTTATACAGTACGTGTTTATCGGTATCAGAGGTTTTACTGTAGTTTATGAAAGTTGCCAGAATGTACAAAGCAACAGGTATTTCCCGTCACCTAACCAAACCTTTTTTTCAGAAGTGACTGTCATTTTTTCCAAGGTGTTACAGTAATTCAAGTAACGTTATCGACTTAGAAAACAATTTCATTCATTTTCCGAAGCCCTCTGTGTGTCAGGTTTCAGCAGGTAAACAGACCCCAAAAAATAATGAAGGGAATAGCATTTCACAATCAACACACCCGCTAACTTTAGCAGACTGCTGTCTTTTCTCTTGCACGTTGTGTAATTTGTCATCGCGAATACAGCCATGTCTTACCTGAAGTGGATAGACCAGCGCGAAAAAGACAGCCAGACAGACAACCTGCAAGAGAGAGAGCAAGACAACGCAGAAGAGCAGCAGGTGAATCAGTCGCTTCTGGCAGGATAGTGCGTCTTGACAGCCCGGGTCTTTGCAGTTTAGCACTGTCATCCCGAGACAGCAGGAAGACGCTGTGCTGGAGGCCGCTAGACAGAAAACCGAGTTAACTCTCGGGGCGAACGAGAGTTTTTTATTGTTGTTGTTTTGGTTGTCACTCCAGGAGCCGCCACTACTTGTACTGCAACTTGAGAGAGAAAAAGAGAACATTTGAAGACAGGAGTGCCCCTCCTACTTACTGTATGAGAAAGACAAACCACCAGGGAGAGAAGAGGGAGGGAAGGCGGATGAAAAAGGAACGAGGGGAAACGGAGAGAATTATGAGGACCCAAATGTAGCGTATCTCATTTCTCTCTTTGGGAGGTGTGTGGTCTGGCTGGAGGTCCACCTACGGGTTTTAAAATAACGCTGTTGTTCGGAGTGTTATGGTGTGAATGCCATTGTTCCATCCTCTAAAAAATAAACAACAAATAAAGAGTATGGGATCCGATCAGTCAGCCTGCCATTAATTTAAATAGTGAGGAAGTGGCACGTTTCTGCGCCAGCCTATTGGCAAGACGTGCGATATGCGGTAGAGTACCTACTGTGCTGTGTTAAGTCTGAGTGATGAATTCCAATCTTGTCATCAGTTTACGTCTTTGTTGTTGCAGATCCAATACAAAGCTGTCTGGAGCCGTCATCCTCTATATATACATCTGCGTTTTCAAAGGTGATTTATACTGTACATATGTACATATTATACATATATATGTATATTTATTCACACAGTAATTTGGCAATGGGGTAATTTGTGTTATAAGATTATTTCCAATCTTATAACACCTTTTTTTACTGTTAATCCCATTATCCAGGTGCCTAAACATCTTGAGCTAAATCTTATCTTTACCTTGCATTCCTTTGAGGGCTAAACAATATTCTAATGCTTTGACCCAATACTGTAGTTTTAAAGTGTCAATAGTATTTGTTGCAGTACAACTAACATAAAGTAATATAAGTCCCACATGTTTATTAAGTACTCCTTAGTATTCTACACATTATTGTCATAGTAAACTACTGCACAAAAAAATATTTTATCAACCGGGGTTCTATAGAGACGATATTTTTTCTTCAATGTTAAGGTTAAATTTGGTATGCATTTTGTGTTCTGACTTTTAAAAAGTACCTTTGGGTCAGAAACCTGAAATCTTTCAGTGCATTTTGTTTTTCACATTCGCAGATTGGATGCAATATTGCTGTAGATGACAGCTGTGGAAGAGAAGATGACTTGAGTCATGGAACTCATTTACTTGAACTGAATTGCCAAGTGGAAACACTGTATTTGTCTTTTTAAGCTGATTTTGGTTTATTTGTACTCATATGTATCATTACAGTGTTTGTACTCAGAATTTATTTTTCCTTTACTTGATCACAAAACAGCAGGATTATCGTTGGGTCATAGACCTTAAAGGGTTAATATTTTAAAAATCTTTACCATATCCTTTTCCCCCATCCTTTTCACTCCAGTTCAATCCTTTCTTCAGAAAGAGATTCCAGAAGGCGAGAGGCAGTACTTTCTGTTTGCCTTGTTTCATGTTAAATCATTCACCCACCCATTTTCATACAGCTTTATCCAATTTAGGTTAGTAGGAGAGCCAGAGCCTATCCTGGCAAGCAACAGGCGCAAGGCAGGGTACACCCTGGATGGGACGCATGTCCATCACAGGGCACACACTGACACAAACACTGTCACATTTACAAAAGGGATAATTTTAGCAGGTGCCCATTAGCCGGCCAGCATTTTGTGGTCTTTGGACTGTGGGAGAACACCGGAGCACCTGGAGGAAACCCACATGGGGAAAACATACAAAGTCCATGCAGATAGCACCACAAGTCTGGAATTGATCCTAGGGCCCCAGCACTGTGAGGCACAAATGTTATACACAGTATAGCCCTCATGTTATTAGTGAATTATTCATTCACTTATGACTGCATGACAGCAAATGTGAGCATGAACACCTTGGTAAACAGAAAAAAGAAACATTTGTAACATTTCTGATGTGAAGCACTTGGAATGTATCAAGGCTTTAGGTGTTTGAAAAGACCTGAGCAGTGCAGTTTTGTGCAGTGCAGTGTAGGAACCTAAGAATAGTAAGAGATGAGAAGAAGTCATTGAACCCTAACCCATGAATAGTTAGAAATTTATCCCAGATCCTGAAACTGATCCAAACCAGCGTATTGGCGTCAACACAGCTGCGTTCTTTGTTCCATACCCCCACCACCCTTGGGGTAAAAACGTGCCCCCCAAACCTTCTAGGTTTTAAATGTACTTCTGTGTCCTTTCCATTTGTGTCTTCTGGTTTGTGTTTCACTGTTCTTTCTGAAGAAGTCTACTGGGTTGACTTCATCAAATATGGAGATTTGTATCAGGTTCCCTCATAATCTTCTCTGTTCAAGACTAAAAGGGTTAATTTTTTCTGTGTGTCATTATAGGTCATTCCCTCAAGCCACAGAATGGGAATAGTAATCTGGATGGTTTTCTCTTGAATGATTCAGCTAGATAAAGATAACAGCAATATCTTTTTTACAACACGGTAACCAAATTTGTTATAAATAAGGCCCGACAAGTGAATTTAACAATTTTAACATAACACTCCTTGATTCAAATTCTGTGCCTTTAGCAATTTATTTGAACATTTTGTTTGCCTTCTTAATCGTTTCTGCACATTATCTTAAAGATATAAATGATGTGTCAGCATAAACTACCAAGTCTTTATCATAAGTAGTTTTTTTTTAGCTCAGTGTTTTCCACTTTGTATTTATAGTTGATTATTCTTCTGTCTATGTGCAAATCCTGCACTTGTTTACATTAAAAGTCATGTGCCAGGTGTTTACCCAGTGTTGAGTTTTATCTAAATCTTTTTTAGTTTCATTTCCTGCTTTACAGTTTGCGAATCCATCTAATTTTATATAATTTGCAATTTTAACTAGTTGCTAACTATAGCAGAATCTACATTCTAGTAAGTCAGTAAGTAAGTCAAATTCTTATTTTGTACATTAGCTACTTTCTGTTCATTGCATGGAGTTTGTATGTTCTCCCCATGTTCACGTGCTTTTCCTCCAGGTGCTGTGGTTTCCTCCCACAGTCTAAGGACATGCTAATAGGTTTATTGGCTTCTGAGAAAATTGGCTCTTGTGCGAGTGTGTGCATGTCTGTTTGTGCTTGTGTGTGTGCTCTGATTGGCTGGCTTTGCTTGCACCATTGGCTCCTTGTTGGGATAGACTCTGGCTCCACTGTGACCCTGAATTTGATGAAGCAGTAAGAAAGCAAATGTATGTTTAGTTCCCCATTATAGTCCCTGATACAGTTTATTTTACCTCTTTTGCTGTTGTAATATTGAAAGAACTCTGCAGGACTAATATTCCTTTTTACCCATGTTTGCAATTAATAGCACTGGACTTTAATAGAACATTGTTGTTTTTTTAATCATTCCATAAAGCACTTTCTTTTCCCTTGTGCTTTTCCAAAGTGTTTTTTTGAATTTGTTTGTTGAACCATTGCCCAGAGCAGTTCTTTTAGCATTTTCTCACTCTTTTTATTTACTCACTCCTGGGATACATGCGTTCTGAGGCAGAATCTGTTTAAACTGTTGCCATTCATATTCCACAAATTTTACATCTGTCTTATCCGGTTATCCGGTTTACTTCTCTCATTCCTTCAAAGTCTGCTTTCCCGAAATTGTTACCTTTTGCTGCTGTACAGTTTCAAAATATACTTCAAAACCCATTATTTTGTGATCACAGTTCCAAAATGGTTCTATCACCTCTGTTTGCCTTACTCTGTCTTGATTGTTTGAAAAGACCAGATTTGTACAAGTGTTTCCTCTTGTAGTTGCTCTTGTAAATTGGGTAAGAGAACGGTCATTAACCATGTCTAACACTATCGTGTTGCTGACATTTTGACCATGTTTGAAAATTTGAATTCTTCCATAAAACTTAATTTAATTTAGGTTAAAACCACAATATGCTTCCCTAAGAAAGCTCTTTGGTGTAAAAAAACAATTAACTTGGTTTATTTGCTGCATTATTTGTAATAGTGCTAGCCTATTGTTTTCACAGGAAAGCTCACAATCATTGTCGCTGATAACATTTTTCTCACTGAATTGTAAAGTTCGACATTTTGGACAAAAGAGCAAACATCTAACTCAGACCCGGGCCTCCGGCATCACTCAACAGGGACCCAGCCAGCTGAGCTAAAGGGAAATCTCCCGTCAGCCCGACGGCTGCAGTCCCTGCTATTCACAGGGAAGGTCAGTGACGTCACCGCGCTGGTAAGCCGGCTCGCACAACCTCTAATGTTGGCCATATGCATTATACTCTTCCCTGCTTAATTCGCCGTCCTCGGCAAAGGGCTATCCCACCTCGCTTATGCGTTTCAGAATTAAGGACTTACTTTATCTTGATTGGTGGAGAGACGCATAAAAGAAATGGCTGGAAATGTTTACAAACAAGAGACATTGGCATGAAAAGATGTAAAAGTATTAAGTCTTGCATTGATGGTTGCTTGGAAATAAACAACATACCATGATTAGCAATTCTTGCGAGATACCATGACTCAGATGGAAATCGAGAAGAGTGAAGACATTTATTAATCATTTTGCGGAAAGAGGAATTGACATCAAGAAAATATTTTCTGTGACGACTGACAGTGCCCATGGCCGGAAAGAAAACGGATTTGTAAAGATAATTGTGGATCACATTGGCCACGCCATGGTAAATCATCATTCTGTTATTCATCACGGAAATCTTTGTGCCAAGCTTTGAGATTATGAGCTTAATAATGGGATGACAGCAGTGGTGAAAATAGTGAATTTTCCTGTTGGCCGATCTGCCTTGACACACTGCTCCATGAGATGGACAGTGAATACAAGGACATTCTGCTTCGCTGCAATGTTGACTGGCTAAGCCATTGGAAGGTTTCGGGATGCCTTGTGGACTGTTTTGGTCCAATCACAATAATTTTATCAGGAAAGGGGCAAAACTACCCTGAACTGCATGCTGAAAATGGGTTGCAAAACTAATGTTTGTAGGCTCATCACCACGCATATGAATGAACTCCTCCATCTGCAGGATGAAAATCAAACTGTTATGGGTTTTTTCTTTGGGACATTGACACCTCAGCTTTCCACTATTTCCAACATTATAAAGAACTTTCACGTTTCAAAAGGTTGCACAATCCATGTTGCTGAGTTTTGAGTGTACATGCGAAAACTGGCATCAGAATATTCCGTTTTCAGGGTTTCCAGTGTTTTGGCCCAATGTTTTCTTTTCTGATGAAAGTAGACAGCTTTGATACCAGTGACATTAATTTTTTAGTGTTTCAGCAGATGGATGTTGAGGACTGTGGAATGCAGCTAATCGAATTACAGTGCCCAGAGTTATGACACTCAACTTTGAACTTTGCATATCAAAGTTCCAGGATATGCAAAACACACTTGAGGCTACTGAAACAATCTTAGTTTCTCTATCATGCCCGATTGGAAGTCCTTACCAGTGAATGTTGATTGTGGCGAGAAAGTGGCATTTTCACTGATTTCAGCATTTGGATTAACACAAACAAGTATTTTCACACACAAACTCAGAACTTTGTCCCTCCTATAGTCAGTTAACAATCAAACACTCAGAAGCTTGCATGCTGCTTAAAGTGTCAAGCTACCAGCCTGAGATTGTGGAACCTAGCAAGGGAAAGCAAGGCCAAGGTTCACACTAAAGACGTGCATATGTATTTATTAATTTCAGGTATTATTAGTATAATAGTATAGTGTTATTGTCAAATTATTAATCAAACTAATTATTGATGTTAAAAAAATTAACTATGGCATACGAGTCTGTAAACCTTCTGAAAAGTTGCTGACCCCTGGAGTGTCCAGTTTGTCAAGCCAAGCTTTATTGTATGCATACAAGGAACCAGGATAGATACCTATATAAGGACCATAACAGTTATAGTATCTATGGTAGTTCAAAGGGGATATGGCTCTACACAGCTTATATATGCTTTTCCCTACACCCTCCCCCTCCTGTCTTCGAGGTAACTTTCTCAAGAAACAAGGACTCAGAAAGCACTTAAAACATTCCTTTCTTATCAGGAGTTTAGTGTAAACATTCCCCATTAGGGAGTTTAGTTGGGGGGGGGGGCATCTGTGCTAAAGTAAGTGTGACGGTTAGAGTTCAGTGTGTAAATTCAGCAGTTTTTCATCTCTGTTGTTTTCCTTTTTCATTGTTTAGCCATTTTTCTGTGATTCCAGTGACATCATAATTGCCTGCTCATGTGGCGGTTTCTATCACATTTGATTTGTTTCTGATACTTCTGACTTTCAGTTGGAAGCACTTAATTATTTAGTCCTTTGTTTTTAGTTCTCCCTTACTCTGTAACCTTTCTAACCTGTGGTCCATGTGGATCCTAATGCTCCAGTATAGTGATGGGGACACTATACTGTAAACAGGTGCCATCCTTCGGATGAGATGTAAAACTGAGGTCCTGACTCTCTGTGGTCATTAAAAATCCCAGGGCGTTTATCAAAAAGAGTAGGGGTGTAACCTGGCCAAATTTCCCATTGGTCCTTTACCAATCATGGCCTCCATATAATCCCCATCTATGAATTGGCTTCATTACTCTGCTCTTCTCCCCACTGATAGCTGATCTGTGTGATGATGTATTCTGAAAGTGGCGCACTTTGGCTGCCGTTGCATCATCCAGGTGGATGCTGCACATTGGTGGTGGTGGATGGGAGTCCCTGTTACCTGTAAAGCGCATTGAGTGGAGTGTCCAGAAAAGCGCTATATAAGTGTAAGCAATTATTATTATTAAAAATGTACCCTAAGAAGGAAAGACATTTTCAACTGCGCTTTCTTCTACACAGAAAACCCAAGTTCCCTAAAAACACAGAATAGCATGCTTTCTCTAACAAGGTTCAAATACTTTCTTCCAGTTAGGTTTGGATGATAATGATAATGGGCTCTTGCCTGGCGCAAGCTTCAGGTCCTAACTCCTCCGGACTCCTCTCTCCTTGTTGCCTGCTTCTTGTTTATTCCTCTCCTCTGTGGTCTTAATGTGATCTTATATTGTGTGTTTCTGTACTGCTCCTTAAAAATCATTGACCTGCAGCTTACCTAGGTATACTAAGGTGAACTTTACAATTGTTTCTGCTCTAGGGATTCCCCAGACCTCAGGAAACATCCTCTGGGCTTTGAAGCTAGAAGTGCCAAGTGTCATAAACTTTATGTAAAATCCAAGAAACAGTTATCAGTTACCTAAAGCTGTAACAATATAAACATGAAATGCTAATAAAGTAACTTCAACATACAAGTACAGTGAAAAGATTCCTAGGTTACTTATAAGTTGATTTTGATAACAAATCTCAAATAGATACATTCTGATGATTGGGAACTCTGCTGCGGTCTCCTTTTGAAAACCATACTACAGTAAATAACGGAAAAGATATTCATATTCATAACAGCATAATAACACTGACACAACCAGTAATTTCCAGAGAGATGAGATGGAGTGCTGAGCATCTTGAGAAACCACACAGAACCACAACAATCTCACAGGTGTACCTACAAGCACATGGCAAGGTGTCCCCTGTTTTGTGTTACTAGTAAACGTTATCTGAAGGATTGATATAATCAGACTTCAACAATAAGTTAGATGTGAAATGGATCATTTTTTTCTTCCTCTTTCCTTGTACCTTTTGATTGTAAGCCAATCAGATCGTGACCTAGTTTGATTACCAATATAGTACATTTTCCATTATTTTAAACGATCCATTAATAGAGCCAAGAAATCATAGCTGTTTCTTTGTTGTAATGAACCACAAAGAAGATGTTGCAGCCTGAGCTTTGACTTCAACATTTCAGATTTACAGCTAACGCCAAAGGCTGTGGAGAGAAGACTTTTCTACATCTTCATCAAGTCAAGGAGAGACGTCCATTGATCTACAGTGAGGACAAATGCCTGGAAACTCTTTTAGCATCTAGCAGTGCTATTAAATGATTTGGATGACAAATAGAGGTGCTGG